TGTTCTTTTCATAACTGCACTTTCCTTAAACCTTTTCATTTTGTTCCTGCTCTGAGTTTATCAGATTAACGGCACAAAAGAAAGTTTGAATCTTGTTTAGTTTGAGACTCTGAACCTTCTGCCCGACGACATCAACTCAAACTGAAGAACACGGGTTCGGTCTCCGCCCAAACCCTGTGGACATGACGTAAAACTGATTCCAGACGTGTTCTGTGAAACTTCAGCACATTTGTGTTCGCTCCATAAACCGTGTGAAAAACAGAGACGCTGGTGATTCTAGAGCAAAACACACGGAACATGTGGATCCACTGGAGCCGAGGCAAAGAACTAAAGAACTCACCTGAGAACTTACAACCTGTCACCTGCTCCAGGCCCCGCCCCCTCATATAAGCCAACCTGTCACCTGCTCCAGGCCCCGCCCCCTCATATAAACATGACCCCCCCGAGGTTAACGAGGCTTCATCAGGATGTGACTCATGTTCACGAACATTTAAATGCATAAAAACACACACACACACGCACACACACACAGAGCTCGAGTTGTGTTTGTTTGTGAAGTTTAAAAACACAGTGGAGACAAAAGACACGGCTCCTGCTGCTGCTGCACAAGCTTTATTATGAAGTGACGAGGTCAGAGGAGGTCACACAGTCAGCAGCTCCCGGATCAGCTCTGAAACACACACACACACCTCGGGTCACACCTCGGGTCACACCTCGGGTCACACCTCGGGTCACACCTCGGGTCACACCTCGGGTCACACCTCACCCAAGAGGGTCTGGCTGCAGACACATGGGGAAAGTGGAGCTCCACTCCAGACCGGAAACACGTGACCTCCACCGAAGACGTCATCTCTACTTTTATGTTGACCTATGGAGCGACGAAACGATTTATTTTGACCGCAATTAAATGTTAAAGATTGTTTTTACGTTATGGAATTTGTTCGCACATATAAACACAGAGCAAAACGACCATGTGGAAGACGGAGAAAACATGTGAGTAACACGCTTTTAACTTTAGGAAATCATTACTAACACAACTGTAAATGTAAAATACGACCATAACTCCCACAAAACTGTCAAATAAGTTTATTTTTAACTGCGTGAACCTTGGAGATTTGAGCTAAAAGTTTGATTAGTAATCTGCAGCTAACGCGATGAAAAGTCAGCTCAAACTTTCATATTTGGACACATTTCCATCAAACACTCATCATGTTTTTACTGTTCGGGGTAAAGAAGCTCACAGATGATTTAATGAAGCTACGAGGAGAAAACACCGCGTTTTCACACACAGTGACTGGGTTAAACTTGTAAACACTTGGCCAGTATAAGTGTAAGTGCGGTAAGATAAAAACACACATTATTTCATGCATTAAACATAAAAGACACAGTTTTTTTATGTTTAATGTATAAAACATTAAACATGTCAAAGCTTATATTTACTTATATTCACGTAACATAAACCTCCAACGTGTGCATTTCATTCTGGGAATACATGATCTGCTTTTAATAATCGGTGCATGTTTGTAAAGTGAAAAGTAAAGACTCCTGCCTGGACACGTCAGATATAAGGTGGACATGAGGCTCATTGAACAGATTTTGCAGACACTGTTGTAGATACTAGACACTTGTGTCTGTTTGGCCTTTCACATCTAATATCAGAACAGTGAGTCAACTGTTTGAGATTCATGTTCTTTTCTCATCTGCAGCCTCCTGTATGAGAACACAACTCACTGCTGGGGCCACAGAAATGTTGGCTGATGAGATGTTCATGATTCATGAAATGGGTCAAATGCAGATGACAAAGAAAAGTCAACACTGAGCAGGAGGTGTTGACCCAGACTCTGCCTCTGTTTAGGTCTGGGACATGTTACACTGAAAACTCCAATAATAATAAGAGCTGCAAATGAATCAGGCTCATGTTGAAATCATTATTTAATTTTCTGAAAATACACATTTCTCAAATGTGTGGGATTTAACTGTTTGGATTTATGTCATAGTTTTCTTAATGTGTTTGTCATTACAGGTTTTCACTCTGCAGGACAGAAATTTCAACCAGTCAGACTTAAGGCCCATTCTGCTCTTCCTCCTCCAGAAGACGAGAGACACATCAGACTGAATGATCCTAGTCCACTGGGTCATGTCTCCACTGTCCAGGTCCAGACTCACAGAGGAGGAGGAGGAGGTCCAGACTCACAGAGGAGGAGGAGGAGGAGGAGGTCCAGACTCACAGAGGAGGAGGAGGAGGAGGAGGAGGTCCAGACTCACAGAGGAGGAGGAGGAGGTCCAGACTCACAGAGGAGGAGGAGGAGGAGGAGGTCCAGACTCACAGAGGAGGAGGAGGAGGAGGAGGAGGTCCAGACTCACAGAGAGGAGGAGGAGGAGGTCAGACTCACAGAGGAGGAGGAGGAGGAGGTCCAGACTCACAGAGGAGGAGGAGGAGACTCACAGAGGAGGAGGTCCAGACTCACAGAGGAGGAGGAGGTCCAGACTCACAGAGGAGGAGGTCCAGACTCACAGAGGAGGAGGTCCAGACTCACAGAGAGGAGGAGGAGGTCCAGACTCACAGAGGAGGAGGTCCAGACTCACAGAGAGGAGGTCCAGACTCAGAGAGGAGGAGGAGGTCCAGACTCACAGAGGAGGAGGAGGAGGAGGAGGTCCAGACTCACAGAGGAGGAGGAGTCCAGACTCACAGAGGAGGAGGTCCAGACTCACAGAGGAGGAGGTCCAGACTCAGAGGAGGAGGTCACAGAGGAGGAGGAGGTCCAGACTCACAGAGGAGAGGAGCAGGTCCAGACTCACAGAGGAGGAGGAGGAGGTCCAGACTCACAGAGGAGGAGGAGGAGGTCCAGACTCACAGAGGAGGAGGAGGAGGTCCAGACTCCAGAGAGGAGGAGGAGGAGCAGACTCACAGAGGAGAGAGGAGGAGGAGGTCCAGGACTCACAGAGGAGGAGGATCACAGAGGAGGAGGTCCAGACTCACAGAGGAGGAGGTCCAGGACTCACAGAGGAGGAGAGAGTCCAGACTCACAGAGGAGGAGGAGGTCCAGACTCACAGAGGAGGAGGAGGAGGTCCAGACTCACAGAGGAGGAGGAGGAGGTCCAGACTCACAGAGGAGGAGGAGGAGGGTCCAGACTCACAGAGGAGGAGGAGGAGGTCCAGACTCACAGAGGAGGAGGAGGAGGTCCAGACTCACAGAGGAGGAGGAGCAGACTCACAGAGGAGGAGGAGGAGGAGGTCCAGACTCACAGAGGAGGAGGAGGAGGTCCAGACTCACAGAGGAGGAGGAGGTCCAGACTCACAGAGGAGGAGGAGGAGGTCCAGACTCACAGAGGAGGAGGAGGTCCAGACTCACAGAGGAGGAGGAGGAGGAGGTCCAGACTCACAGAGGAGGAGGAGGAGGTCCAGACTCACAGAGGAGGAGGAGGAGGTCCAGACTCACAGAGGAGGAGGAGGTCCAGACTCACAGAGGAGGAGGAGGAGGTCCAGACTCAGAGGAGGAGAGGAGCCAGACTCACAGAGGAGGAGGAGGAGGTCCAGACTCACAGAGGAGGAGGTCCAGACTCACAGAGGAGGAGGAGGTCCAGACTGCAGACCTGTGGAGCCTCTGGTTGCACCAGGTCTTCCTCCTGCACATTCTGTTTGCTGCTGTTCCTAATGTGTCCTAATAGTGATGTGTCCATAAAGTTTAGGTTTAACGTCTAATTTCCTCCAGAAGTGAAACAGTAAAATGATGGTTTCTGTTCGTCTTGGCTGAGGAGCACCTAAACATCTTCATCACTGAGGAAGTGTCCCATGATAAATGTGTCCTGATATGATCTTAACAAGTGTAAGAGACAAAACTAGAGTCAGAGAAGTTGCTCATAATAAGTTTTTCTGAATGTTTTTCAGTCTGTATTGATGTTTGATTCATGATGAAATGTGCCATTTACTTTCTGTCTCTTTTGAAAGTAACTAATTACATGTACTATAAGAATGTACTGTTGTACTGCAGTTAAGCTGTGCTGTTCCACCTGATCATATTTTGGAATTTTTTTTTTCTGCTTCAGCAAAATGGAAGAACTCTTTGAGAGAACACTGACATACAGCTGTTTGTACTCACCTATTAATGCAGAGAGTGTGTGTGTGTGTTTGTGTGTGTGCGTGTTTGTGTGTGTGTGTGTGCGTGTAATGGGTTTAATTTTTGACTATTCACATTATGATAAAGTATTTACAGTATTTATAACCATCTTTTCTCAAAGCAGAGACGTCTTTCTTTATAAAATGACTTAAATACATCCCCGGTATAAATGTAATCCTTTATCAATTTAAAAATACTTTATTCATAATTAATAATCTCATCAGTTTTTGAAACTTTAAGGCAATTTAGTCTATTTTAGATGCATCCCAGAAATATCGCCGTTTTGTTTTGCAAAAGTTAAACATAAGTTATCGTTTTTAGCCATAAGATTTGGAGGAGAATTTTTAGAGTAACTTGGTCTAAAATTCCAACAGTTTGTTTACCCGTGCGTCATCTGATGGTACGTGTTGTTAGCATTAGCATTAGCAGTCTCGGTTGCTAGGCGACGGGGCGGCTCCGTGGGCTACACCTGTCACATTTCAGCTACGGCGACGGCTGCAGCCTTCACAGACTTCGAAAGCTGCCGCCCTTGAACTGGACACGGCTAATATGGCTAATACGAATAAAAAAATAAAAAATAAAAGTCTATCGTAGATATGACGTGTTTCCGGTCTGGAGTGGACCTCCACTGTCCCCATGTGTCTGCAGCCAGACCCTCTCGCCTCACCCGGGTTAGCGTGTTGGCGTCACCCGGGTTAGCGGTTAGCGTGTTGGCGTCACCCGGGTTAGCGACCTTAGCGTGTTAGCGTGTTAGCGTGTTGGCGTCACCCGGGTTAGCGTGTTAGCGTCACCTGGGTTAGCGTGTTGGCGTCACCTGGGTTAGCGTGTTAGCGTCACCCGGGTTAGCGTGTTGGCGTCACCTGGGTTAGCGTGTTAGCGTCGTCACCTGCGTGTTAGCGTGTTAGCGTGCGTCAGCTGCTTTAGCGTGTCGGGCGTTAGCGTTAGCAGCTCGTCTCGGAGGCGTCGGTGTCCGTCTGACGTCAGGAGCCAACAGCATGACTTCCTCCTCCCCTCACCCACCTGAGACACGAGGACATGAGGACATGGGGGACGAACGGGGACAAGGGACAAGGAGACAAGGAGACAAGGAGACAAGGAGACAAGGAGACAAGGAGACAAGTCAAATATCCATCCTCCCCTCACAGCTCTGGTCCTCGGGCAGAACCCGAACTCGCCGAGTTCCATCCAAGAGATTTGATCCAGACACACAGAGACACACACAGACAGAGACACACAGACACAGACACACAGAGACACACACACACAGACACACAGAGACACACACAGACACACAGAGACACACACACACAGACACACAGACACACAGAGACACACAGACACACAGACACACAGAGACACACAGACACAGACACAGAGACACACAGACAGAGACACACAGACAGACACACAGACACACAGACACACAGACACACAGACAGACACACAGACAGACACACAGAGACACACAGACAGAGACACACAGACAGAGACACACACAGACACACACACAGACACAGAGACACACAGACACACAGACACACAGAGACGTCGTCACAGACAAAGTCGTTGGAGCTGAAATGTGGCGATTCGCCCCAAGTTTTTCCTCTTCGACTCCTGGAACAAACGACTCTCCTGAAAAACCCGACAGAGTCTGGACCCACCCGGACCGGACCGGCACAGAGTCTGGATGTCGGCGGGTGTCGGAGGTGGGGGGGTGGAGGGTGTCGGCGGGTGTGGAGGGTCTGAACCTCTGTGGGATCAGTGAAGTATTCACCTGTCCCCCTCTCACCTGTCGGCCCTGCTGCTCCCTGTCGCTCCTGTCGCTCCTGTCGGCCCTGCTCTGGGTGAAGGTTTTCTTGAAGCTGTGGTTGAAGCAAAGATTGTGACGGATCGTGTTTTTCCAGCCGTCTGGAGCCGTCTGAAAGAACGGAAACAACTCCCTGCAAGAACACAGAACAAGACCCGGTTTAGACCCAGTCCAGACCCGGTCCAGACCCGGTTCAGACCAGGTTCAGACCCGGTCCAGACCTGGTTCAGACCTGGTTCAGACCTGGTGAAGTTGTAGATCTGTTGGACTCTGAGGCTGCCGTTGTATTTCAGAGCCAGACCAATCAAGACGCAGTAATTTACTGGGGGGCGGGGCCAGGGGCCACAGACAGGAGCGCACCTGTCGGACTGAGAACTCACATTATACACAAGTACTACCAGTACTACCAGTACTACCAGTACTACCAGTACTACCAGTACTATCAGTATTACCTGTACTACCAGTACTACCAGTACTACCAGTACTATCAGTACTACCTGTACTATCAGTATTACCTGTACTACCAGTACTACCAGTACTACCAGTACTACCAGTACTACCAGTACTATCAGTACTACCTGTACTATCAGTATTACCTGTACTACCAGTACTACCAGTACTATCAGTACTACCTGTACTATCAGTATTACCTGTACTACCAGTACTACCAGTACTACCAGTACTATCAGTACTACCTGTACTATCAGTACTACCAGTACTACCAGTACTATCAGTACTACCTGTACTACCTGTACTACCTGTACTACCTGTACTCCCCCTCCTCCTCACACTGACCTGTTTGTTGTTGGTTCGAGGTTTGCGGCGACTCTTCCCTGGTCCAACAGACGGCGCCACCGAGCGGATCTGCACAAACAAGACCAGGACTCGAGGGGGGACTCGAGGGGGGGACTCGGGGGGGAACTCGGGCGGGGACTCGGGCGGGGACTCGGGGGGGGACTCGGGGGGGGACTCGAGGGGGGACTCGGGCGGGACTCGGGCGGGGACTCGGGGGGGACTCGAGGGGGGGACTCGAGGGGGGACTCGAGGGGGGGACTCGGGGGGGGACTCGGGGGGGACTCGGGGGGGGGACTCGGGCGGGGACTCGGGCGGGGGACTCGGCGGGGGACTCGGGCGGGGGACTCGGGCGGGGGACTTGCACTTGTGGTTCTTGGTCCTGGTCTGAGCCTGGTTTAGTCCAGATCTAGACCTGGTTTAGAGCAGAACTATGCTCTGTATGTATGTCTATGGTGGAAAGCTCAACCTGTTACCATGGAAACAAAACACACGACCTGAGAAGGTTTTAGATCATCTGAAAAAACCCCAAAGGTGATTTCAAAACAACAAAAAAACTTAAAACATCAAATCCAAAATGTAGAGAAAAGCTGGAGCAGGAGTGTGACGTTCTCCTCGTCCTGTTCCACATTTGTTCTTTTGAGCTTCTCTTTTTTACAGATTCTACATGTTCTTTATGGAACGTTGACGTTCCTCATGATCACGTGGACGTGTCTCCTGAAAACAGGAGCAGAGCGACAAAACAGAGTCTTCAAAATAATAAGAGATGAAAAGATTCTTCAAACCAGATAAACTTCAGAAAGTCAGAGAGAAGAAACGACCAGAACCTGGAGAAACATCTGAGGAGAAACATCTGAGAAGAAACGACTAGAACCTGAACGTCGCTGCTCTTACCGTGTGCTGATTGGTCGACGAGCTGCGGACGGTTTCCTCCTGTAGCGGTGCATTGTGAGAGAGTGGGGGCGGGGTCTGTGGCGGAGGGGGCGTGGTCTGTGGTGGAGGGGGAGGGGCTTGGGGCAGGTAGTGAAGCGGACACACGATGTTCGGGTTCACCATGAGCCACAGGTTCGGTTTCACAAACGAGTCTGGAAAAACAACCATCAAAACCGGTTCAGATCCTCCTCTAGACCTGAGATCCTACCTGAGGCCTCATGGAAACAGACCCCCTGTAGACCGGTTATGATCCTACCTGAGGTCTCATGGAAACAGACCCTCTCTAGACCGGTTATGATCCTACCTGAGGTCTTGTCGTAGCGGGTGAAGTCGTCTTGGCGGTGTGTGGTTCGTGGCGGCGGCGGCGTTGGTCTCTGGAGAGACTCTGGCGCTCGATCATCTGAAACACACGAGGCTCAGGGTTCAGCTCTCGCCCTCCAACCACCAGCTCACAGCTCCAATCATCATCATAATAATCATAATAAAAATAATAATGATAATAATAAGGATCCTCGTGAGTCGGACCCTGGTCCGTGGTCCTCTGCAGACGCAGCTCTTGGTCCAGGTCCCACTCGGTCAGAGCCACAGAACAGTGAAGGTCCAAGAGCCGCCCTCTGGTCCGGAGACGAAGACTCATCCTGGGATAGTCCTGGTTTAGTTCTGGAACAGACCTGGTTTAGACCTGTTTCAGACCTGGTTTAGTTTTAGTCTGAGCTGTGGCCCTCACACCTGTTCCACCAGGTGGAGCTCATCAGCCAATCAGACAAGAGCACTCAGATCTGTCTAAATCTGACCAATCAGAGAAGAGAACACCAGCTGACCAAACCCATATATGGTCATTTTAAAAGAGGAAGTATTTACCTGTGAGCCGTTTCCAGCTTTAGGTTCATGATGTTTGAGAAACTGTGGAGTCGCGTCAGAAGAATAAAGTTTATTATAAAAGTGGGGCTCCACATACAGAGAGCAGGAGCCTGTACAGGTGCATCATGGGAAATGTAGTCCAACAGGAAACAGAAGGTTATTCATTATTTTAAATATATTAGTTATAAAAATAAAACGTGTTACTGTGGTCAGATCATTTGTTCATGACGGGTCAAATCTACAAACAAGAGTGCCGGGTTAGTCCTGGTTCAGTCCTGGTTTAGTCCTGGTTTAGTCCTGGTTCAGTGCTGGTTTAGACCTGGTTTAGTCCTGGTTCAGTGCTGGTTTAGTCCTGGTTTAGTGCTGGTTTAGTCCTGGTTTAGATTTGGTGACTAAAGTCTAAATTAGTGCAAACAGACTTGAGCCCTTTTTTCACAAATGTAAAAATGTTTTAAAAGTGAAGCGTCTGAAAGTCTTTGCCCTTTTTTTCACAAACGCTTTCACACAAAATAATTCCACTTTTTACAAATCAGAAAATATCAGAAACTTTACACAGGATTTTAGATTCATACAAAAACAAGTTCTTTTCAGTAAATATTTGGACCAAAAGCAGAAACGGTAAAAACAGGTCGAATCCGAACTCGCCGACAAAACAAATCCACAAACGACTTCAAACGAGACGACGAACAGGAACAGGAAACCTCCGAGTCTCTGCTCCTGCTGCGTCCACACAGGTGCGTCCACACAGGTGCGTCCACACAGGTGCGTCCACTAGGGCTGGGCATTCGATGAAATTTTCTTAATCGATCGTCGGAAGAATTAACGATCGATTATCGATTAATCATGAACGTTTTTATATTAAAATGATCATCATTATTATTTCTATCTGCACTAATCTGCATCAATAAATTCAACTTTACGACATATAAACATAACGACTCTAGATCCACATCAGCTGTTTGACATTATAATGTGTTTAATTCAGTTTTGTTCAAATCTCACAGAAACAAAACTTAAAACCACATCACTAATTTACATAAACTAAGTGAAGATAAAACTCCAGCTCTTGTGTCGCTGATGTGGTTCAACTTGTGTTGGATTAAAAGACATGACTCAGGTGAATACAGGTCAGTGTGACCAGATTTGTGTTTGTCAAAACCAGGACAGCGTACGGGGGGAGGGGGGCGGGGCCTCGTCATCCACATTGAGCGACTCTCACCTGGAAAAACTTTTTCCCACTGGACACAGAAACATATGTGCTGCTTTATCCACTGTGCACATGGACTCACACTTGTCCCAACGCAACGGAAAGTGTGGAATTTCTTCTACAAATCATCGTTAAATACGTATTTGTGCTTTGGTACGTTGCAGGTGGACCGACTGTTTGTGTCTCGCTCCTTCTGATGCAGAGACACATGTTTAATCACGACACACAGCAGCCTACATTCGGTTTGTCGATTAAAATGAACGTAATCGATGAAATTCTTAATGATCAATTATCAATTAATCGACTAATCATGCCCATCCCTAGTGTCCACAGGTGCGTCCACACAGGTGCGTCCACACAGGTGCGTCCACACAGGTGCGTCCACACAGGTGCGTCCACACAGGTGTGCCACCTGTGTGGACGCACCTGTGGACTGTGGCTGTAGTCCAGAGGCTCCTCTTCTTCTCCTGTTGTAGTTCTTACACTTTATTGATCCACAAGGAAAATTATACGGCCTGAGTCTGTCTGTTCTTCTTCTGTGGTTGTAGTCCACAGTGTGTAGTCTCTGTTCTTCTTCTGTGGTTGTAGTCCACAGTGTGTAGTCTCTGTTCTTCTTCTGTGGTTGTAGTCCACAGTGTGTAGTCTCTGTTCTTCTTCTGTGGTTGTAGTCCACAGTGTGTAGTCTCTGTTCTTCTTCTGCAGTCGCAGTTCAGAGACGGTCGCTGCGGAAGGACTCCTCCACGGTGGGGTCGGGCAGCACCAGCTCGGGGTCACTGAGCATGCTCAGTCCATCCAGAGTCAGAGGCTCGATCCTGAGCTCGTCCTCCAGAGAGAATCCCACCGAGTCGTCTGAAGAACACAACACATCAGAACATCAGAACAGGAAACATCAGAACATCTGACTGATATGGATTATTTTGTGGCTGATGTGATGCAGATAAAACTGGAGTTGAAGGAGACGATATATTTAGTGATGTAAAAAATCAGTATAAATCTTCATCTGATTCTAAAACTCAGCTGTGAGTGTGTGAGGTGTTTGTTCAGGGACATTTCCTGTTCTTCTGTACGTCACATTTAAAGACACGAGGTCGACTCTCGGTGTTTGTGCATCACACTCTAACATGTAAACAAAGCCTTTAGTGGTAAATGCTGCGCCCTGGTGATTAATGACATGTGTAAATGTGGATCATTCACACATCCGTGCAGGTCCAGTCACATGTCACACACTAGAGTCACTTCACACTAGAACAATGTCAGAAAACAGAGTGTTGATGTGAGAACGACAAACAACCGAAACACAGACACACACACACTCACACACACATACATACACACACAGACACACACACACACACACGCACACAGGCTCCTCTCACATCACAAGTCTGCACATATAACACACATGCACACACACAGAGACACACACACACAGACACACACTCACTCACACACGCACACAGGCTCCTCTCACATCATAAGTCTTCACTAATCAGTGCAGAACATGGTGATGTTGATGTTTGGCAGAGGCGTACCTGTCAGGATGATGTTTGGCAGGGGCATACCTGTCAGGATGATGTTTGGCAGGGGCATACCTGTCAGGATGATGTTTGGCAGGGGCATACCTGTCAGGATGATGTTTGGCAGGGGCATACCTGTCAGGATGATGTTTGGCAGGGGCATACCTGTCAGGATGATGTTTGGCAGGGGCATACCTGTCAGGATGATGTTTGGCAGGGCCGCCTGGGGGAACAGCATGGGGGGTCTGGAGGAGGGACCCTGGCTCATCTGCATAGAGGAGGCGTTTCCTTGGAGACCGTGCTGGGGGGCGGAGTTATAGAAGAGAGACGACGACGACGAAGGATCGAACGAACAGTTTCCACCACCACCATCGAGAAAACCAAAGCTCTCCTGAAACACACAAGACCAGGACTGAACCAGGACCAACAAAGGACCGACCCAGGACCGACCCAGGACCGACAAAGGACCGACAAAGGACCGACAAAGGACCGACAAAGGACCGACCCAGGACCGACCCAGGACCGACCCAGGACCGACCCAGGACCGAACCAGGACCGAACCAGGACCGAACCAGGACCGCGTGTAGCTGTGTTTTGTGTCATCAGTGTTTGCGTCATAAATGTTTCTTGAAGCCAAAACGTTTCTGGACAAAACATTTGAGTGAAACTTGAGTCTCTCACCTGAAAACTTTTACTGGGTCCAAACTGTGGCTCCACGAACGGGTCAGAACCGAACAGAGACATGTTCTGGAACACACACAAACAGTTTATTTTATTAATGGACGAACGTCACATTATATTATCCATATTTATTCTCCTCTAATGAGACGGTGCAGAGTTTCTTGTTCTGGAGTTTGTGGCTCCACGGTTTTCTTGTTCTTCACTTTCTTCTCGTTCTTCTGGATAAAAATGTCGCTGTGTCACTGGAGACTGGGCCGTGATTGGTTGAACAGTGAACATGACGCAGCGACATGACGCGGCGACATGACGCGGCGCTCCGACGCGGCGCTCCGACGCGGCGCTCCGACGCGGCGCTCCGACGCGGCGCTCCGACGCGGCGCTCCGACGCGGCGCTCCGACGCGGCGCTCCGACGCGGCGCTCCGGTCATTGCACATGTTACATCTCAGAGTTTGACAAACGTGGACTTTACGAGATTTGTTCTTGGTATTTTTATTTGTCATGTAGCAGCAGATGTGTGAAAAGTCCCTCACTCGTTCAGGCAGAATCCACGGCGAGGAGAAAATTCCATTTGTCGACTGGACAAAAGTGAGTTTGGTTGAAGATGTTCCTCAGCTCGTCCAAGCTGCTTCTTCAGTTCTGTCAGACTTTGGTGACTCTTCCTTCTTTCTGCAGGAGGAGCTAACTACACTGAAACTCCTCTGGAACTAACACATCTACTTGTTTACAGTTTGTGTTTGTTAGTTCAGCCTGTTGACCTGTTCAGGGTGTGGGTCTAATGAACAGAACAGTTCATGTCCATAATGGAGCTTCCACACCTCTGGTCCTGACCTGACTCCACCTGTTGTTCTTGTTTGTTTTGTTGGAGGTTTGAGGATGGACGTGTAAACAGGAGACAGATGGAGTCTGAGTCCATTTCTGTTTAGAGAAGGATTCTCTTTCTTAACAAAAACAGCTTCTTTCACTCTCCTCTCAAACCAATTTTTCTCTCTGGCTAAAATCTGGACCTCACTGTCCTCAAACGAGTGACCTGTGGTTTTTAAGTGGAGATGAACATCAGACTGAGGTCCTGTGTTGTTCTCTCGTCTGTGTTGGTTCTTGTGAAGTGTCTGTTTAGTTTCTCCAGTGTCACTTCAGTCTTCACTTCACTCAATGGAGGAGACCACATTGTTTTGTTTGTGGCTCCGTGTTTTGTCTTTTGGACCAGTTTCTGTCTTAAAGTGTTCGTAGGTTTGAAATAGACCAGGATATCATGTTGTCTGAAAATCCTCTGTAGTTTTTTCAGAAACAACAGCCATGTACAGAATAGTTGCCCCCTTTCTCCTGGTTCTGATTTTCTGTTGTTCTGTTTTTTAGTTCTCTTGGTTTTGTTGAAGGTCCATTTTGGATCTCCCTCTCTGTTTGCAGAGATCCTAAATGGGCCTTCAACAAAACCAAGAGAACTAAAACACAAGACAACAGAACTCTGCTTTTATCTCATCTTCATGAGTCTAGTGTGTGATCTTTACAGGAGAACTCCTGAGTTCCTGAGGTCTCTGAGGTTCTGCTGATTAAATGAAATATACATTGATTTAAATCCAACCAGGAGATGAACTGAACCGATATTTGGTCAAATCAATATCTGATATCGATATCGATCAGTGCATCCCTACTGTGACCACTGACCTGTGACCTGTGAGAGCAGCGCACCTGAGCAGGGCCGTAGTCCAGGGGAGATCGACCCTGACCCTGGGTCTGGCTCTGGTTCTGGTGGTGCCGGGTCTGGAGGTTCTGGAGGTTCTGGGGTTTCTGCAGGTTCTGCAGGTTCTGGAGGTTCTGGGGGCTCTGGGCAGAGGGGCTCGGCAGTGTCGCCCCCTGCTGGAGAGGGCTGTTCAGTGGAGACTGCTGCTGTCCAGGTGCACTGTGGGATTGTGGGTAATGGGGGTAGGGGGGAGGGGGCTCTCGGGGGAGGGACGGGTCCAGAGGAACACCCTGAAAAAGAACAAACACAATCAGAACCAGAACCTGAACCAGAATCAGAACCTGAACCCAACAGGCTACAGACCTGAGTTAGACCTGAACTACTCACTCTGAAACAGGATGAGGAGATTGGCAAAAGGAATTTACGAGTTGGTCCTTTTTTAGTCCAGGTCTAGACCTGGTCTAGACCTGGACTAGTCTAGATTCCTGACTCTGACGCTGGATTCGATGCTTAGAAAGGTAAACCTGGAGCTGGAACACGTTTTTGGTAAAAGGGGCGGGGTTACCTGGGAGAGGGGCGGGACTCCTCTCTGTTGCTCCGGCGACAGCGTCAAGGGGCTGATGGGGGCGGGGCGTCGCCGTGGAGATGAGCAGAGGGAGGGGTTACTGAGGGACGACGACAAACCTGAGGACACAAGGAAACTGGTTTAGCTCCAGTCCAGTCCTGGTCCAGTCCCGGTTCAGTCCCAGTCCAGTTCCGGGTCTTACCCATCTGCATCATGGCGTGGGGCAGGTGGTTGGTGTAGTTCTCGTCTGAGTCGATGGGAGTGGAGAGCGGAGGAGGAAACTGCAGGTTCGTCAGGTCTGGGAGAGAGCCTCCAGTGTTCAGACCAGACGCGACTCCAGACCCCAGAGAGGAGTTCTGACAGGGCTGGTACTGAGGGACGCTCACGTTCGGATCCGTAGACGGAAAAATACTGACGAAAAACAAAATAATCTTGTGTTTATAATATATATGCGCATATATAAGTTATATCAACAAACGGCTCATTACATATGCGCATATTTATATTCTGACAGGACATGAGACATAACAGGAGAAAAAGTGTTCTGAAAGACCAAAGGGCCGTGAGCTTTGGAGCATCTACAGTTAAGACCATCTGACCTTTGTTCCTCAACAAACTTGACCAAACCGGATCAGGAGGAACCTCTGGAGCAGCAGGACCTGACCTGATCTTCTGCTCATCAAGATCATAAAATGGAATCGGAAGGATTGAAAATGAATCACAAAATGGACTCTGTGAGCTTTAGGTCATGTTCTGTTGTTCTGTTGTTCTGTTCTGATGTTCCTCGTCACAGAGCTGGAGTTGTGTTTTGTTTCATTCACACAGTGAGTAACTCTTTATTATTAGTCTGTTCCACATTGTGATGTCATGAAGTGACAGTTTGGTAGTTAAAGCGTATTAAAGAATATTAAAGTATGTTAACGTGTATCAAAGCGTAATAAAACATGTTAAAGTGTAATAAAACGCATGTCAAAGTGTATTACAGCACATCAAAGCGTGTCAAGTGTAAAAAGTGTTAATGTGTATTAAAGCATTTTAAAGCATGTTAAAGTGTATTAAATAGTATTATAGAGTATTAAAGAGTATTAAAGAGTATTAAAGTGTATTAAAGAATATTAAAGTGTATTAATGTGTATTAAAGCGTATTAGAGAGTATTAAAGAGTATTAAAGTGTAATAAAGTGTATTAAAGAATATTAAAGTGTATTAAAGTGTATTAAAGCGTATTAAAGAATATTAAAGTGTATTAAAGTGTAATAAAGTGTATTAAAGCGTATTAAAGAATATTAAAGTGTATTAAAGTGTAATAAAGTGTATTAAAGAATATTAAAGTGTATTAATGCGTATTAAAGCGTATTAAAGAGTATTAAAGTGTAACAAAGTGTATTAAAGAATATTAAAGTGTATGAGAGAGTATTAAAGTGTATTAAAGCGTATTAAAGTGTATTAAAGTGTATGAGAGAGTATTAAAGTGTATTAAAGCATATTAAAGAGTATTAAAGTGTAATAAAGTGTATTAAAGAATATTAAAGCATATTAAAGTGTATTAAAGAGTATTAAAGTGTAATAAAGTGTAATAAAGAATATTAAAGCATATTAAAGTGTATTAAAGAATATTAAAGCATATTAAAGTGTATTAAAGAGTATTAAAGTGTAATAAAGTGTAATAAAGAATATTAGATCGTATTAAAGAGTATTAAAGAATATTAAAGAGTATTAACGAGTATTAAAGGACAATAAAGTGTATTCCAAGTGTGTTAAGAGACCAGGACTTACTTGATCCCAGGCACTTCACAGGACTTGGGTCTCAACGACTGCACCTGAAAAACAACAAACAATTAGCTCAAAATACAACAGAGGCAAAAAGAGGACAGGACGAGTGGACGGGTGGACGTGTGTGTGTGTGTGGGTGGGTGTGGGTGTGTAGGTGTGTGTAGGTGTGTGTGGGTGTGTGTGGGTGTGTGGTGTGTAGGTGTGTGTGGGTTGGTGTGTAGGTGTGTATAGGTGTGTGTGGGTGGGTGTGTAGGTGTGTGTGTAGGTGTGTGTAGGTGTGTGTGTAGGTGTGTGTGTAGGTGTGTGTAGGTGTGTGTGTGTGTGTAGGTGTGTGTAGGTGTGTGTATAGGTGTGTGTGTAGGTGTGTGTGTAGGTGTGTGTGTAGGTGTGTGTGGGTGTGTAGGGGTGTGTGTAGGTGTGTGTGTGTAGGTGTGTGTGTAGGTGTGTGTGTAGATGTGTGTAGGTGTGTGTGTAGGTGTATGTGTAGGTGTGTGTGTGTGTAGGTGTGTGTAGGTGTGTGTGTAGGTGTGTGTAGGTGTGTGTAGGTGTGTGTGTAGGTGTGTGTGTAGGTGTGTGTGTAGGTGTGTGTGTGTGTGTGTGTAGGTGTGTGTGTAGGTGTGTGTAGGTGTGTGTGTGTGTGTGTGTGTGTGGGGGGGGGGGGGGTTATGAATGCGATTTTATCCAAATATTTGTGTGAAACGTAAAAACGGTGATGTAAAAAGGTGAGGGGTCAGAGGTGAGAGGTCAGAGGTGTCACTGACCCAAGCCCCCAGGTTCCAAAATGGCCGTCCATTCAAGTCAATGGGCTCAGCTCAATGGCGCATGATTCCAGCTTAGCCTAGCATGGCTAGGTACTTCCGGTGGCTGTGGGCCGACCGAGCATGTGCAGTAGTGCTCTTTCTCCCATGGGCGCACGCGACCGCACGCGACCGCGGGCTTGTGTATCACGTGATCGCTTTGACCAATCAGAGCGAGAGGAGCTTGAGCGGAGCCGAAGCTAACGAATATAAAGCATATTTTTAAGACAACTGAAGCATTTTGAGCGAGAAAAAGTTTATGATCTAAAAATAGGTAAAAATCGCCAACAAATCCGATATTTTTGAAAGCTGTAGGTGGCCTGTCAGACGAACACGAGCAGTTTGTGATTACATTGCCTCTATGAGAAAAATCTTGTCTCGGCCCATGGGACTTTTTCTGCTGAAGTTCCAGTGAGTGACACTACGTCAACTGGAGACAGCTACAAGCAGCAATACTGTATCCAGTTATTTTAATAGATCCATGCACTGACCTGCTGAGTGTCCCACAGCTGTTTGGGCAGCAGCCGCGTCCCCATCATGGCGTCCTCAGAGAGCGGCGGGAACGAGAACACTGAAGCACAACAGACGAGAGGTTAGTCCAGGAGTCTCCAAACTTTCTCCTCCTCTAAGCGACTTTTGGTCAAATGAAAAGGCCACAGAGCTGCTCATTTCAACACTCGTCAGAAAAGGGGTAAATATAAGATCGTCGGCGCCGTAGACGAGGAGCAGTTAGACGCCGATAAAACAGAAACATCATCAGTGACCAGCGCAAAGACTCAGACCTCAAAGAGACACATTTACACAGGAAATATGAATTTAATCAGTCAAATGAGTTTAAAAGAGTCGGCGCAACATGTGTCATTCAGAAATCCTTTGGTGAACTAGTTAAACTGTACAACACTACAGTCTCAGGGTGTTTTCACACCAACAGTATTTGTTGCACCAAACGGTCCATTCGAACCAAAAGTGGTTAGTTCGGTTCGTTTGCGTTGGTGTGAAAGCGCCAATCGGACTCGGACCCGAACCAAATCAAGCGACCGAGACCTCAAAAAAGAGGTGGTCTCGGTTCGCTTGAATCCGCACCAAATGACCAACTTTGGTGCGGTTCCTCTGGTGTAAACGTGAACCCGGGTCCAAACCATAGACAGTATGGACAAACTGACTATTTCAAATGCATCATGGGAGGAAACGCGTCTCCTCTGCCTGAAATGACGCGCTGTACGACTCCAGCGCAGGAACAGGTTGTTGTCCAGACGCAGCCGCGATTCATTTTAGAATTATTTTGCCAACAATGGCCAATACAGAGAATGTAACACATGAAGATCAGAGCAAGTATCAGTGTGCGAACGTGTGGCTCCAGAGTGAGTCAACAAGAGACGTCCCAGTGTTCCCCGTGTTCATGTAGCAACCAGCATTTGTTATTTTAGGCTTTAATTAACCAAATAATTTTATGGCAATAGCCTATTCAATTAATACAACTTTAAAAAGTCCCTGTTTTTAGCCTAGTGTGAGAAATACAGTCGGACTAGATCCAAACCAGAGTCCTGAACCAGCGGGGGCAGGTCCGGTTCAGGCCGGGCTCAGAGGAGCTGGAGCGGGGAGCCTCGACCTGAGGAAGAACTTTCCCCGAGAAGAACCAAATGCGCGGAGGACGGACGCTCAGAACAACATATAAGAAACCAAACTGGACTCACGCTTCTGTTCGCATGCTGCATGACCTCGGAACCAGCCGCGGTTCTTGAGCGCAGAGGACCAGAGCAGCCCACCCGGACCTGTAGTCCACAGAACATTCTCACTTTCCCCGCACTGGTCTTGCTCGCCACCGTTTGGAACCAGCACATGGAGGACAGAGCCTCCAGACCATCTGACCAACGCGCTTGTAGGACGACAGAAGACCAAGGACCAGACCCCAGACCCGTCCTGAGGAGCTGTTGGCTGCTGCTGTTACCCGAATTCTGGGCTGATGCAGTGAGTTTGTACAAAGTTCTACATGTTTTATCAGTTCATGATGATAATTTGAGATGAGGACGGCCCGTGGTATTAACAGGAACATCGGTGTTGATAACTGGAGTATCGCTGTTTTCCCGGGAAACAGAGACACGTCGTCGAACCAGTTTTGGTTCGTTTGCCGGTGTGAACACGGACCACACTGGAGTGTATTTGCTACATAATAACAATTTTATTGCCTGGTGCGACCAAATAATCGAACTAGCGATGTGAAAACGACCTAAGACTGTAGAGTTAAACACAACACTGTAGAGTTACACACACAACACTAAAGTCTAACACTGTAGAGTTAAACAGAAACAGACTCTTGGGGGGCAGTTAAACTCACCGTCTGCGGCGCCGTCCTCCGCCTCGTTCAAACTCGCTGCAACACAAAACGTCAGGAGTTACACACAGGATGGGTCAGGGTCAGGGTCAGGGTCAGGGTTGAGGTCACGGTCGAGGTCCGAGTCAGAGTCAGAATCAGAGTCAGGGTCAGGTCTGATGGTCACCAGGAGGCTGTCAAAAAACATGAGTTTAAAGTAGCCCTACAGACGTGTGTGTGTGCGTGTGTGTGCGTGTGTGTGCGTGTGTGTGTGGGCGTGCCTACAGCTCTGACCTCTGAACTGTAGCTTTAAATCTCAATATTGATCTAAAACGACTTCATAAAAGAGAGAAACGCTGGAGCTGAAAACAAGAGGAAAGAGACAAAATGGAATGATGAAAATAAGAGATTAAAGATTCCTCAAACATGAATCACTCCAAATGCACTTCAGAAGGTCAGAGAGAAGAACCAACAAGAACACGGAGAAACACCTGAGGAGAAACGACGAGAACACGGAGAAACATCTGAGGAGAAACGACGAGAACACGGAGAAACACCTGAGGAGAAACGACGAGAACACGGAGAAACACCTGAGGAGAAACACCTGAGGAGAAACGACGAGAACACGGAGAAACACCTGAGGAGAAACGACGAGAACACGGAGAAACATCTGAGGAGAAACGACGAGAACACGGAGAAACATCTGAGGAGAAACGACGAGAACACGGAGAAACACCTGAGGAGAAACGACGAGAACACGGAGAAACATCTGAGGAGAAACGACGAGAACACGGAGAAACATCTGAGGAGAAACGACGAGAACACGGAGAAACACCTGAGGAGAAACGACGAGAACACGGAGAAACACCTGAGGAGAAACGACGAGAACACGGAGAAACACCTGAGGAGAAACGACGAGAACACGGAGAAACACCTGAGGAGAAACGACGAGAACACGGAGAAACATCTGAGGAGAAACGACGAGAAACACGAGAAACATCTGAGAGAAACGACGAGAACACGGAGAAACACCTGAGGAGAAACGACGAGAACACGGAGAAACACCTGAGGAGAAACGACGAGAACACGGAGAAACATCCGAGGAGAAACGACGAGAACACGGAGAAACATCCGAGGAGAAACGACGAGAACACGGAGAAACACCTGAGGGAGAAACGACGAGAACACGGAAAAACATCTGAGGAGAAACGACGAGAACACGGAGAAACATCCGAGAGAAACGACGAGAGAACACGGAGAAACATCTGAGGAGAAACGACGAGAACACGGAGAAACATCTGAGGAGAAACGACGAGAACACGGAGAAACACCTGAGGAGAAACGACGAGAACACGGAGAAACATCCGAGGAGAAACGACGAGAACACGGAGAAACATCCGAGGAGAAACGACGAGAACACGGAGAAACACCTGAGGAGAAACGACGAGAACACGGAGAAACATCTGAGGAGAAACGACGAGAACACGGAGAAACACCTGAGGAGAAACGACGAGAACACGGAGAAACATCCGAGGAGAAACGACGAGAACACGGAGAAACATCTGAGGAGAAACGACGAGAACACGGAGAAACACCTGAGGAGAAACGACGAGAACACGGAGAAACACCTGAGGAGAAACGACGAGAACACGGAGAAACACTGAGGAGAAAACGAGACGACGAGAACACGGAGAAACACCTGAGGAGAAACGACGAGAGAAAACACGAGAGAAACACCTGAGGAGAAACGACGAGAACACGGAGAAACACCTGAGGAGAAACGACGAGAACACGGAGAAACACCTGAGGAGAAACATCTGAGGAGAAACGACGAGAACACGGAGAAACATCTCAGGAGTAACGACGAGAACACGGAGAAACGACGAGAACACGGAGAAACGTCTGAGGAGAAAGGACGAGAACACAGAGAAACATCTGAGGAGAAACGACGAGAACACGGAGAAACACCTGAGGAGAAACATCTGAGGAGAAACATCTGAGGAGAAACATCTGAGAGAAACATCTGAGGAGAAACATCTGAGGAGAAACATCTGAGGAGAACAGGAGCAGGTGTGATTTAAAAGCTCCGTGTGCTGTGCTCTTACTGTTCCTCTGAGGGACCCGGCTCTGGGTCCGGTTCTGGTTCTGGTTGGGTCCAAAAGCGTCCGGGGGGTTCATGACGCTGGTGTGGAGCGCAGAGTCAGAGTTCGTCCTGGAAACATTCACAAAATGAGAGAAGTGAGAGGAGCGAGTGTTGGAGGAATCAGGGGTGAGACTTAAACTGTTTCCTGTTGATGAAACGGAGGAAAGAGAAAGTGTTAGTGCAGCCCACAGCGCCCCCAGCTGACAGAAACACAAGAGAACACTTAACAAGAAAAGACTTGACGTGCCTCTGACAGGTTCTGCTGATGATTCATTTTCACTGAATCTGACGTGATTCTAATTATTTGTGGAGGCAATTTGTGAAAAAAAAAAAAGGTCCAGAACTGTTTTATTTTATCACACTGGGAGAATTCGGTCCAAAAGTTTGGCACATTTTACACAGAAACACATTTTTCTGACATTTTAAACCATTTTCAACTAAATAAAGGAGTTTTCTTACATTTATATTTGTCATGTAATAATCTCTGGGACATCAGACGAGTTTGGGCCCAGCGAATCCGTGTATCATACATTCATTTGTTTTTCAATATAAAACCAAAAATCTGAAAACAAAAAAAACATTCTTCATTATTTGTCTCCAAAACCAAAATAAAATAAACAGATAATGATTCGTTTTTTACAGTTTTTGATTTTGTGTTTAAATGAAAAATGGAAAAAACAGGTAACCGTTTCCTGTTTACGTCACTTCAGAGACTGCGATGCTGGAATTTTGCGCTGCATATGGACTGAACCAGGACTGATCCAGAACCGGGACCAGAGCGGGACCAGAGCGGGACCAGAGCGGGACCAGAGCGGACCAGAGCGGACTCTGAGCTTTGACTCTGAACCTCCGCAGGGTCCGAGCCTCAGCTTCATGCTCTGGCCCTGTCGTGGGCTCTGAGCCTCCGGTCTGGTCCCAGTCTGGTCCCGCTCTGGTCCCGCTCTGGTCCCGCTCTGGTCCCGCTCTGGTCCCGCTCTGGTCCCGGTCTCGGTCTGGTCCCGGTCCGGTCTCAGTCTCAGTCTGGTGCCAGTCTGGTCCCGGTCTAGTCTCGGTCTCAGTCCCGCTCTGGTCCCAGTCTGGTCTCAGTCCCGCTTTGGTCCTGGTCTGGTCCCGGAACTGGATCAGTTCTGGTTCAGTCCGGCATCGCAGTCACTGAAGTCATGTAAACAGGAAACGGTCGTTACCAGTTTTTACCATTTTTCATTTAAAAATAAAATCGAAAACAAAAAAAAACGAATCATTATCTGTTTTTTCATTTTGGTTTTGGAGACAAATAATGAAGAAAACTGTTGTTTCTTCGTTTTCTGATTTTTGGTTTTATATTGAAAAACGAACGAACGACACACAGATTCCAGTGGACCACACGGTTGCTACGGTAACAGTGATGGGAGTCCCCAGTGTGATGTCATGATTTCTGACCAGGAAGGAACATTTGAAATAAAAACAAAAACAAAACTGCCTTTGTATTTTTAGGTCAAATTTTAAATACAGTGATCTTACAGACTTTTTTCACATCGTCTGAAGTGTCGCTCTGTAGGTTTGTGGAACGTCTGGTTAATGATTTTCTGTGTCAAAATGTGTGTGTGTGTGTAAATGTGTGTGTGTGTGTGTGTAAATGTGTGTGTGTGTGTGTGTGTAAATGTGTGTGTAAATGTGTGTGTGTGTGTAAATGTGTGTGTGTGTAAATGTGTGTGTAAATGTGTGTGTGTGTGTGTGTAAATGTGTGTGTAAATGTGTGTGTGTGTGTGTGTGTGTGTGTGTAAATGTGTGTGTGTGTGTGTAAATGTGTGTGTGTGTGTGTGTGTGTGTAAATGTGTGTGTGTGTGTGTGTAAATGTGTGTGTGTAAATGTGTGTGTGTGTGTGTGTGTAAATGTGTGTGTGTGTGTGTGTGTGAAATGTGTGTGTGTGTGTGTAAATGTGTGTGTGTGTGTGTAAATGTGTGTGTGTGTAAATGTGTGTGTGTGTGTGTGTGTGTAAATGCGTGTGTAAATGTGTGTGTAAAATGTGTGTGTGTGTGTAAATGTGTGTGTAAATGTGTGTGTGTGTGTGTGTGTGTAAATGTGTGTGTGTAAATGTGTGTGTAAATGTGTGTGTGTGTGTGTGTAAATGTGTGTGTAAATGTGTGTGTAAATGTGTGTGTGTGTGTGTAAATGTGTGTGTAAATGTGTGTGTGTGTGTGTGTAAATGTGTGTGTAAATGTGTGTGTTCCACAAACCCAGAGCAGGACACTTCAGAAAACGTCTGTTGTGTTTTAATGAAACAACCCTGACCCTGACCCTGACCCTGACCCTGACCTGTCAGAGGCACGTTTAAGTTTCTCCAGAGAAACCTGTCAGTCACTCAAACCCTGTGAGCCCAGCTCTGTCTGAACTCCTCCAAACTTCTGCGCTGGAGCTTCGTGCTTCTTTAGAGAAAATATCAAACTGAGATTTTTCTGACGAGCGGTTACGAATAAACTATCGACGTGTGTTTAGACGGCGGGATTTTGTTCAGGAGCAACACATCTGAGACCAAGATCTGAGCCTCAAACTCCTCCAAGAACCCCCCAGAACATCTGAGACGGAGATCTGAGCCTCAAACTCCTCCAAGAACCCCCCAGAACATCTGAGACGGAGATCTGACCCGCAAACTCCTCCAAGAACCCCCCAGAACATCTGAGACCGAGCAGAGCAAACAGAGCTGGACCCACAGAGCGCCCCCTGATGGACACACAGAGATCACACAGGAAGTGCTGCCGCAGAGAGGTGAGAGGTCAGACGTGAGAGGTCAGAGGTCGTGGAGGGGTCACCTGTTGAGCTGAGACATTAATCTAAATCCAGGTCTTTTGTCGTCCATCCAGGGAGAGCTGGGGTCCCTTTAACACAGAGAAGCACTCGGAAGTTCACATTTCAACATAATTAAACGTGTTTAAACCAAAGTCTCGAGCCTCTAATGTGGGACGATGGTTCTGTGGGCCTGGGTTTGGCTCCTGGACCAGATTATGGACCCAACACCTGGTTAGGGTCTCTTTTAGTCCTGGTTTAGATCTGGGTTAGTCCCGAGCTGCGTCCGAATGTCTCTCTGGACACAGTTTTACTTTTAGCTCAGACCCAGTTTAGCCTCGGTCCCTGGAGACTCAGACCAGCCTCCGGAGGCTCAGGAGGACATTTATGGACCAAAGTCTGTGAGAGCCGAAGAGCCGAGGGTCTGAGGAGGTCCGAGGAGGTCTGAGGGGGCGTGAGAACTGATCTGGACCACAGAGAAGTCTTCTATAGCAGGCTCTAAACCAGAGACTGTACCAGGACTAAACCAGGACCAAACCAGGACTAAACCATTACTAAACCAGGACCAAAGCAGGACCAAACCGTGACTAAACCAGGACTAAACCAGGACCAAACCAGGACTAAACCAGGACCAAACCAGGACTAAACCAGGACTAAACCAGGACCAAACCAGGACTAAACCAGGACTAAACCAGGACCAAACCAGGACTAAACTAAGTCTAAAACCAGAGCTAAACCATGTGATGTGTTGCTGAGGTGTAGGGGGCGTGGTTACCTTCTCCAGGTGTGGTCGGGGGGCGGGGACAGGTACACTTGACCGTACGGAGACGAGTTGTCACAGTGGAACCAGGTTAAGGAATAAAAATTTCAGAGGAATCACACGAGAGCAGCTCAGAGTCAAACCTCCGCTGTCAAAACCACCGACCGCTGTTGACCGTGTCCACGCGGCGGCGCCACACTCGCCCCGGGGCAGACTCACGGGCGAGGGGCTGCTGTTCCGCGCCTCTGTACGGGTCAGACTTATAACGAGGACAATCTCGGTTTTAAAGATGTGCTCAGTTAGAGCAGAGAGATGAGGGCGTCATCTGGAATTAAAGTATTTAAAGGTTGTGTGGAGGATTTATTTATTTTTTTTCAAATTGTCAGTGAAAGTTTTAAATACCATTACAAAGATGCAGCAGCTTTGTAATTATGATGACCAAAAAAAAAAAATCTAAATCTATCAACTGTGGACGTGTTGAGGTCAGATAAACATCAGCCAATAGAAAACGAGGCTCCCTCATTGTCTATTGGCTGTTAGGTTGTCAATCAAACTCCCTACGTTTCTAGTGTAACTGACTCTCGACGCATGGGGATTACATGGTTTATGCAGCGGTTCTTAGAGGCTTTTTTTAAACTGTAGCTTCCTCACAATTCGCACAAAGTTTGTTGCGATGGCGGACGAGAATCCACGACCAGTTCATCGCAAAAGAAAGTCCGTTTTTGAGGTCGCCGAAAGAAGAAGAGAAGGGGAAATGGAGCGAAGCCAAACAGGTGATTCTTGGAGATTCCTTCCAGCGATTGCGCAACTGAAGCAGACGAAGGGTCTGACGCGTTGATCGTTAAATTATTTCTAGACAGGTCACTTCAACAGTAATTCTGAACGCGCACTGGCTGTAAACAAGTGTGATTTCTAGAGTAAGGAGGCGGGAGGAGGAGGTGTTTCTACTGAGGGAGCTGTGGAGGAGGAAGGAGGTGTCACGCATGAACAACATTTGAAAAAGGACTGTCACTGTATTTCTTGTTCCTTAAAAAAATCTTCTATACAACCTTTAAAAGACTGGAGAGTTACACATGAAAATGACCAGACACAGAAACGGGGAGTCCAGGAGAGTCCAGACTCCGGCCTCACACCAGTCGCCCTCACGAACGCAGCGGCAGAACTTTAAACTGGAAACGTACATATTTCTATTACTACTTTTTTACTTTTTTAAGTCCTAACGTGTGTTTCAAGCCTTTAAGAGCCATTAAACCTCCTCCTGAAGCTTCACTCTGCCCCCGAGGTAAAATGTGAAACGTGTGTGGGGGGCAGGCTCTGGAGCGATGATTGACAGCTGACCCACAATTACAACAACCCGACGCGGCGCAGACCTGTGTAACCTGGACTTTGAAACAGAGTGAACATTTACGCTCCGATCACGCTGTTTCCCTTTTTTCCAGACACGGCGGGACACGGCGGTGCCAGGTCGGGGACGGGGCTGAGAGGGGCTCCTCACGTCCCGCCCGTAGACGCCGGTGTCTGCGCTCGTCACGTCATAACCTGCGTCTGGCTCATCGGCGCCGTTAGTCCAACCCCAAAACATTTTTAACAAATCTGCACAAACATAAAGGCAGGAACAGAGACACACTTCTGTTTTAGACACATTTACACAGAATCAAGAGAAAAAACGGATTCTGATGTTGAAACTGGGGATGTATCGATCCGGCTTTTCCAGTTCTGATACCGATACTTTAACTTTAAGCGTCTGCCGATATGTGAAGCGATACCAGAGTAGAAACAAAACCTTATTACATCACGACTGAGCCGCTTCACACGAGGAAAAGTTCAAACACTGTGAGGCCAAAATGACCCTGTAAATCTGTCGTTACGTACGATAAAACCAGAAAACACAGAGATGTTATATTTTGTCGTTGCGGCCCGAGCTCGCCGTCCCCGACCACGCTCGGTTTAAGCCCCGCCCTGTTTTCTGTAGAGGAAGGATATGTGTCTGTGCTTGTCCATGCTGCGGCGGTGAGTGTGCGGAGAGCTGATCCGGGGTCTGTGCACGCGCTCCACCAAACCGTGATGTCGTGTCCCCCGAGGGTCCAGAGCCTGAGGGAAAGCTGCCTGAAGAGAGAAGACACGACAATAAACATGATCTCACAACATCACGACATCCTTAATGTTCTACTCACTCATGTTACAGATCAGGCAGGGCACATGTTAGCGTGTCTGTAGTTTACCTGGTTTTCTGAGGCCGTGTTACAGATCAGGTAGGGCACATGTTAGCGTGTGTGTAGTTTACCTGGTTTTCTGTGGCCGTGTTACAGATCAGGTAGGGCACATGTTAGCGTGTGCGTCTGTAGTTTACCTGGTTTTCTGGGCCGTGTTACAGATCAGGTAGGGCACATGTTAGCGTGTGTGTAGTTTACCTGGTTTTCTGCGGCCGTGTTACAGATCAGGTAGGGCACATGTTAGCGTGTGTGTAGTTTACCTGGTTTTCTGCGGCCGTGTTACAGATCAGGTAGGGCACATGTTAGCGTGTGTGTAGTTTACCTGGTTTTCTGCGGCCGTGTTACAGATCAGGTAGGGCACATGTTAGCGTGTGTGTAGTTTACCTGGTTTTCTGCGGCCGTGTTACAGATCAGGTAGGGCACATGTTAGCGTGTGTGTAGTTTACCTGGTTTTCTGTGGCCGTGTTACAGATCAGGTAGGGCACATGTTAGCGTGTGCGTCTGTAGTTTACCTGGTTTTCTGCGGCCATGTTACAGATCAGGTAGGGTACATGTTAGCGTGTCTGTAGTTTACCTGGTTTTCTGAGGCCGTGTTACAGATCAGGTAGGGCACATGTTAGCGTGTGCGTCTGTAGTCTTACCTGGTTTTCTGTGGCCGTGTTGCAGATCAGGTAGGGCACATGTTAGCATGTGCATCTGTAGTCTTACCTGGTTTTCTGTGGCCGTGTTGCAGATCAGGTAGGGCACATGTTAGCGTGTGCATCTGTAGTTTACCTGGTTTTCTGTGGCCGTGTTGCAGATCAGGTAGGGCACATGTTAGCGTGTGCATCTGTAGTTTACCTGGTTTTCTGTGGCCGTGTTGCAGATCAGGTAGGGCACATGTTAGCGTGTGCGTCTGTAGTCTTACCTGGTTTTCTGCGGCCGTGTTGCAGATCTGGTTGACGTTGGGCAGGGAGCCTCCATAGTACTGGCCTCTGGACTGAGACAGACGTAGCTGCTGCACTTTCTGAAACTGCACCTGCACCAAACAGAAAGACCAGGATCAGGTTTAAGAAACAGGTGAGCTGTGTTTAAGGAGTGGAGCTAACATGGGGAAGTGTCTGGCCCAAGGACACAACAGCAGGAGGGAGAATCTAATCAACAACACTCATAGTTTAGGATAATTCTCCTGTAATGACATGTTTCCCACTAAGTCAGTTTCATTTTTGGGAGGTTAAGTAAAGTACGAGTTAGGAACTGCTATAGAGAACTTTAAAGTGAGTATTATTCCTGTGGTGTCCTGTGATGCTGCAGGTGACAGGTGAGTTTAGATCATATTTTGCTCTGGCTGATCTATGGCGCTCGGTTTAGACCTGGTTTAATCCTGTGTGAATCTTTACTCTTCATTCACTCGACTCGGTCAACTCTGACTGGTCCGATTTCGCTCATGTGGACTCATAAAATAAACATATTTTATAATTTGACCTCATGTCTGGACTAAAGCTGCATTGCTTTTATTTTAGAGGTGTTTTTTAAATTATATTTTTTTGTTCAGAAGCCTCACTTTTTCATAAGACTCTGAGCAGCTCGTCACAACAATGAGATTTTTTGCTTTTTAAAAAGACATACAATTAATATTTTGCAGAATTTAGTTCAGCATTTTGGCCTCTACAATATTTTCTGTTTCTCATGTGGACTAAAACAGGACTAAACCAGGACTAAAACTAAACCAGGACTAAAACAGGACTAAAACAGGACTAAAGCAGGACTAAAGCAGGACTAAAACCAGGACTAAACCAGGTCTAAACCAGGTCTAAACCAGGTCTAAACCAGGTCTAAACCAGGTCTAAACCAGGTCTAAAGCCAGGTCTAAACCATTAATAAACCAGGACTAAACTAGGACTAAACCAGGTCTAAAACCAGGATTAAACCAGGACTAAAACCAGGTCTAAACAATATGACACCTAAAAAACATGACAATATCAAGTAATCCGATGTATTCAGATTACATTACTCACTTTAAGTAATTTAATGGATTACATTGCAAACTACATTTTAGGATATGTAATCTGTAATCTATAGGGGATTACATTTTAAAAGTAAACTTCCCAACACTGTCTCCAGGTGAACTCCAGGTGTTTTGGGGCTCAGGTGTGAGTGAGGACCCGACATACAGGTCGTCCACAGACTCGGGGGTGTGGAGGTTCTGTCGGGGTTCTGTCGGGGTTCTGTCGGGGGTTCTGTCGGGGGTTCTGTCGGGGGTTTTGTGTGAGCGCAGGAGCCGTACCCGGGACACCGTCAGGTCGGTCATGAGCTGCTCGAAGGCCCGGGTTTCCTCCGCCTGCTTCTGGTTGTGCAGCGCGATCTTCTCGCTGAACTTCCGCGGGTTGGAGCCTCCGGAGCCCGGGCCCGACATGGCGCTGGGTCCGGGGGTCGCTCTTCAGCCGCGGGAGGGTTGAAGTGTGGGGGGCCTGGAGGTTCACAGGTCCGAGTCCGCCCCGGAGCCCATCAGAGGCGGACACACAGAGCCTCGGTGCCCCGGCGACAGCTCCGGAGCTAACGCGGCTAACGAGGCTAACGCGGCTAACGGGCTTCAACTGTTCCTCCGGGACCGGTCCTCGAGCATTTACCCCCGAAAACTGTCAATAAAAGTGTGAATAAAAGTGTGTCCTCATGTCCCCATGTCCCTCAGAGTCTGGACGCGTCAAAACTTTAAAATCAGGAAATGTGTTCAGAAACAGTTAGCAAGCCCGAGCTAACGAGGCTAAGTTAAAGGGAATCTTTAAAAACTTCAAACGTGAAACATTTACACAAACATCGAGTTTCTTTACGCTCGTTTAACATCACCCTAAATAACAATGGCGTTATATTTGTGTCATTACTAATATTACAGCTCTGTGGAGGTTTAATTTCATTTTTAACCGTTTGTTTATGTCTCAAAAGTTGAGCTGTCAACGCTGTTTATGCTAAAGGCTAAAAGCTAAAGGCTAAGTGCTAAGTGCTAGCTGCGGTTCGGAGTCTGGGGTTTCTCTATAAAGTGTGTTTTTTTTTCTGATTCTACACAAACAAACACATTCCGGACTCACGTTTAACTATAAAAACACACAAAAATGTCACTGAAAACACTCGATTTGTCTGAATGTTGTGACCAAACCAGCGCAGCTTCAACTCCGACACTTAACCTTCCACTTTTATAAGATATTTGCAAATTAATACTTAATTCTGTTGCAAACCACAGGAGACAGAATAATAAAAAATACGGAAAATAAAACCTCTGAGTGTAAAACTAAAGCTGTAAAATAAAAAGTGCCCCGTTTGACTCTCAACAAGTGTCCTTCCGAAGCCGCCCGAAGTTTACCGACAAGCCCCGAGCGCCCGTCCGGGGGAAAACCCGTGAAAAGTGCGTGAAACGGGCGTGAATCCCGCGCGCGTCGGTCGGTGCGGTGCCGCGTCCCTCTGCGTGAGTCCCGGGGGCGGGGCAGGGTCCGGGGGAGCGGGGTTTTCTCCGGGTTTTTCGGGTTTTCCGCGGGTTTGTGCGGGTTTTTGCAGAGCCGCACAGATGAGCTTCAGCTTTAGGAAAAACAGTGAGATCCCCGCGCGCTCCGCCAGAGGGAGACACACACACACACACACAGATATACACACACACACTGTACACACACTGTACACACACTGTACACACACTGTACACACACTGTACACACACAGATATACACACACTGTACACACACACACACATATACACACACAGATATACACACACACTGTACACACACAGATATACACACTGTACACACACACACACAGATATACAGTCCCTGACAAAAGTCTTGTCGTTTATCCATTTTGTAGAAACAAAAGTTTATAACTTGACTTTAAATGAATCGATTGGTTTTAGAAATGTCTCATATGAAGCTAAAACCCTCCAAATTATGATCAATAAACTAAAATAAATGTTCTTCACTGAAGAAAGATTGATCATTTAATGAACACAGAAAGGTCAGATTTTGGCAAGACAAAAGTTTTTTCGCCTACAGAAAACTGAACAAATAATTTATTTCAAATACAAAAATCTGTTGCATAACGTCAGTGAATGAAGTCGTGATGCTGTGAGATCAGATTTAATATCTTGTATGACTCCATGAGCTTGAAGGACACATCCATGTGGTTCCACAATGATTCATACAGTTTGTGATGAAGTCATCAGGAATAGTAAAGAAAGCGTCTTACAGCCTCCCAGAGTTCATCAAGATTCTTTGGTTTTGTCTTCATGTTTCCTCTTTCATTCTACCCCAGACCTGCTCCATGATGTTCATGTCTGGTGACTGGACTGGTCAGTCCTGCAGCACCTTGATCTTCTTCACCTTGACAAACTTTGATGTAGAGATAGAAGTATGTGATGGAGCACCAGCCTGCTGCAAAATCTGACCCTTTTATGGTTGGGAATGTAAGAGGAGTTAATACTTCTTGATATTTTAGGTTATTGATATTTACCTTCCACCCTGCAAATGTCTCACACCCCCAGACTGGATGTAATCCCAGACCAGGATTTTTCCGCCACCAAACTTAACTTTTCTGGGTGAATCTTGGATCCATGTGGCTCCAGTTGGTCTCCTGCAATATTTGCGGCGGCTGTGATGTAATTCAACCGAGGATTCATCTGAGAAATCCACCTTCTGCCACTTTTCCAGTGTCCATCCTTTTATCAGGCTGTGGGCCTTGGCAAATGCCACACGGTTTTTTAATTGTCTTTTGTTTAGTGCTGGTTTCTGTGCACTGATTCGACCATGGAGGCCATTTCCAGACAGAATTCTACAAACTGTTGTGGTGGACACAGGGACTTGAGGTGACCAGGCCTGGTGGAGTCTGCTGCAGTGGAAAAGGGGCCTTGGATTTTCCTCCAGAGCAGTTGTCTTGCGGCGTCTGCTGGACCTGGGCTTGTCAAAAAACATCTCCAGTCATTTCAGATCTTTTTCTTCTTCTTTGTACTTGACGCTGAGACACATTGAAGGTGTCACCACCTCAGCAGTGGATCTGGTCTTCAGCCTCTTGATAATTAAGGCTTTGGTCTCAGGGTGGATCTGAGGCATGTTGTCAGAGGTCAAGTTGCAGTTGATGTGAAGGTCTGGTTCTGCTGGGTTCTTTTTATACACAAACACTAACTGATTGATCAGTAACTGATCACAGGTGAGGCTGTAATCTAGGATTGGTGCATCATATGACAAGACCACAAGACTTTTGTCTGTCAAAATCTGACCTTTCTGTGTTCATTAAATGATCAATCTTTCTTCAGTGAAGAACATTTATTTTAGTTTATTGATCATAATTTGGGAGGATTTTAGCTTCATATGAGACATTTCTAAAACCAATCGATTCATTTAAAGTCAAGTTATAAACTTTTGTTTCTACAAAATGGATAAACGACAAAACTTTTGTCAGGGACTGTATATCTGTGTGTGTGTGTGTGTACAGTGTGTATATCTGTGTGTATATACACAGATATACACACAGATATATACACATACACTGTATATACACACACACACACACACACAGAGGGAGACACACACAGAATAAATAGAATAATACAGAATATAAAAAACCAAGTTGATGCACACACACGATCACACACACACTTTCAAAATCGTACACAAAGACACAAGAAGAAGCAAAAATCACAACCAAAATCCTATAAATTCCCCTGAGGTGTGTGAACTTATCATCTTCACAGACATTCTCACTGATTTGAAGTTTACTTATCGAGGACATTTCAAAGTTTCTTGTTTCCAAATTAAAAAAGTATTCAGAGCATTTTTCTCTTTGCTTTTCCCATGTTCTTCTGGACTGAATAAAAGCGCCTTTGGTGTTTCCCTCACACATTTGCTCCAGAGCGTCTGACATAGTTCTTGCTCTGTTTGGACACATGTCCTCACTTAAAATCACTTTTTGAACCAGTTCCATCATTTTAGTGACAATTTGCTGCTCTTTTTCCTTTTTTGCTTTAAAATTGTTTTTGCTAAATAAAATTAGGAACTTCCTTGTTTCGGATTTGCTCAGTTCACAAGAGAGTTTGTCACAGCAGCTGTTCTCCAGCGTTTTTCAATATGTTTCTCAGTTTGTTTTTAGAAATCTTCATTAGGCAAGGCAAGTTTATTTGTGTACGAATTGTGCTGTACAAAGTAATTCAAAGTGCTTTACAGAAGAAGAAATACATTAAAATCATCATAAAAACTAATCAAAACATATTAAAATTAAAAAGAGAGACATAAATTGGAGAGAAGAGTGCGGAATGAAAACCTTTCAGTTATTTGCACAGTTAAACAGAAATGTTTAGAGTCTGGATTTAAACAGCGTCACAGAAGAGTCTGTCTCACATGTTCAGACTGTTCCAGGTTTTAGCTGCATGAACCTGAAACTCTGACTCCTCTTGTTTAGTCGTGACTCTGGCACCAGCAGGAGTTGGTCCCTGAGCTCCTCAGAGTGTGAGATGTTCATATGACACTAACATGTCACAGATGGACTTTGGTGCTCGGTCGTGGAGACACTTGAGTAGAGTTTCATTGAGTTTCTACTAATCTGAACATCTTATATCTTGGTCTTTTGGATGAGATGGTTATTTTCACAGTACAAGTTCATTCTGCTGCGTGTTCTGGAGCTCATTTGACTTTGTCATAGACGACAGAGTGGACAAGTTTCCCCCTAAAGACCAGTGTTAAAATCCCCCTCCCCAAATGATTCTGGCTGAACATAGCGCCCCCTGCTGACCTGTTACTACCAAATGAAAACCCTCTATCTTTCCCCATGGATTTTTTTCCAAAATGAACTACATCTGATGTTCTGCTTCACACAGAAAGAACTTTGTGTGGGTCACTCCTTCACATCCTCCTCTTCCCTCTCATTCTCCTCCTCGTCCTCCTCCTTCCATGTTGATCACAGTCTCCTCCTGGTTTCTCTCCTCATCTGGTTTGTTGAGCTCCTTCATCTCCTCAGAGGTTCCACTCTCGTTCTTTCTCGTCTTTCCCTGTGCAGAGTTCCCTGTAAAAGAGTAAACATCATCAGTCTGGATGCTCCAGATGCCCTCCCAGGTCTGGGCTTGTTTAAGACGTGATGAAAACTTACCACGTGTTTTTGTGCAGATTAGTTTCTTTTTACAGTAACAATATATAAATATTCCACCAACAATGAGCAGAACAACACCAACAACTGCACCAACAGAGACACCAACAACTGCACCAACAGAGGTCCAAGGGTTTACTGGAGAATCTGGAGAAGAGAAGACTGTTTAACCAGACCCAGAACCTGGACTAAGACCAGGACTAAAACTAGACCCAGAGGAGGACTATGGGAAAAGGTTTTTTTTGTTTGTTTTCTTTTAAAAAAGTGAAACTGAACCTGAAAAGACATTAAAGAAGCAGGGAACAACAAAGTCCTGATTTAACCCAAGACTAAACCAGAACTAAACCAGGACTAAACCAGAACTTAACCAGGACTGACTTTCATCTCACCTGTAGTGCTGTTGTGCTGGTCTTTTGAGTTGTTATTAAAGTCTGTAAAGACAAATAGAGGTTAAACACGACCAGGACTAGAGCAGGTCTAAACCAGGACTAAACCACAACTAAACCAGGACTAGACCAGGTCTAAACCAGGTCTAAACAAGGTCCAGACTTGGTCTTACCCAGGGGGACACAGCTGCAGTTTTTGCCGCGTTCTTGGAGACAGTAGGTCCCATTGTCAGAAGGTTCTGGAGATGTTATCTGAAAAGTGATGTTCTCTCTGTCTTTTGCTGGACACGGGGCCTTAAATCTGGAGTTGGAGTCAATGAAGTTTTCACGACAGACAAACACATCGTCCACAAATTCATCAGGCTTCAGCGTCGCTATGGACCAGGAACTCTTCAGTGAACATGAGCCAAGAGAGAACATCAGGCTCCTGTTCTCTGCTGCTGCAGGCATCACTGAAACACCAACACAAGAAGAACTATAATAATAATAATAATAATAATAATAATTATTATAATAATTATTATTATTATTATGTACTGCGTGCACTGTGTCACATGACCTCACATGTGTCACATGACCTCGGTCCTTGGTTTTTGACTCAAAGACAAAACTGTTTGTGGTGAAAAACTTCTTTTCAAATCAGGTTGAAATCTTACACTTTTCTCACTTCTGGTCTGACTCGTTCGTCTCTTGCAGTAAAAGTTTTTATGTGTCACAGGCTCCAGTCTGGTCTTTTCACACCAAACCAACCAAACCTGGTCCTGACATTTGTCCGAGTCTCTGCTACAGCGAGTTCAACTGCACCAGGTCAGAGACACCGAGACTCTCCGGCCGCGGGGCAGGAGACCCGACCCCTGTCACACTCTTAACCGAGGAGCCCAGTGCACACAGGGTGACCTGGTGCACACTGGTGGACCTGGTGGACCTGCAGTATCAGATGCGGGTCTCAGATGAAGCGGTGCATGTCTAATTCCACTCGGTCGCTTCAAGGAAATTGTCAGAGTCTCGTTAAATCTGCTCTGGTTCTTTTGGTCGCTCGTGACTTGGAGCAGGTTTGGTCGCTCGTGACTTGGAGCAGGTTTGGTCGCTCGTGACTTGGAGCAGGTTTGGTCGCTCGTGACTTGGAGCAGGTTTGGTCGCTCGTGACTTGGAGCAGGTTGGTCGCTCGTGACTTGGAGCAGGTCTGGTCGCTCGTGACTTGGAGCAGGTTTGGTCGCTCGTGACTTGGAGCAGGTTTGGAGGAGCAGGTTTGGTCGCTCGTGACTTGGAGCAGGTTTGGTCGCTCGTGACTTGGAGCAGTTTCGCTCGACTTGGAGCAGGTTTGGTCGCTCGTGACTTGGAGCAGGTTTGGTCGCTCGTGACTTGGAGCAGGTCGCTCGGACTCAGCGTCGTGACTTGGAGCAGGTTTGGAGCAGGTCTGGTCGCTCGTGACTTGGAGCAGGATTCGCTCGGTCGCTCGTGACTTGGAGCAGGTTTGGTCGCTCGTGACTTGGAGCAGGTTTCGCTCGTGACGCAGGTCGTGACTTGGAGCAGGTTTGGTCTTGCATCGTGACTTGGAGCAGGTCGCTCGTGACTTGGAGCAGGTCGTCGTGACGTTTGACTTGGAGCAGGTCGGTTTCGTGACTTGGAGCAGGTTTGGTCGCTCGTGACTTGGAGCAGGTTGACTTGGAGCAGGAGGGTCGTTTGGTCGTCTTGTTTGACTTGGAGCAGGTTTGGTCGGTCGCAGGTCGTGACTTGGAGCAGGTTTGGTCGCTCGTGACTTGGAGCAGGTTTGGTCGCTCGTGACTTGGAGCAGGTTTGGAGCTTGGAGGGCAGGTTTGGTCGCTCGTGACTTGGAGCAGGTTTGGTTCGCTTTGGACAGTTTGACTTGGAGCAGGTTTGGTCGTCGTGACTTTGGAGCAGGTTTGGTCGCTCGTCGTTGACTTGGAGCAGGTTTGGTCGCTCGTGACTTGGAGCAGGTTTGGTCGCGCTCGTGACTTGGAGCAGGTTTGGTCTCGTCGACTTGGAGCGGTTTGCAGGTCTGGACTTGGAGCAGGTTGGTCGCTCGTGACTTGGAGCAGGTTTGGTCGCTCGTGACTTGGAGCAGGTTTTTGGAGCAGGTTGGCGCTCGTGACTTGGAGCAGGTTTTGGTCGCTCGTGACTTGAGCAGGTTTTGTCGCTCGTGACTTGGAGCAGGTCTGGTCGCGGGTCGAGCTTCGTCCCTCGTCTTCTTCTCTCACCACAAACAGGAAATGACATCATGAGTCTCCCCTCCCATGATGCATCTGGAACAGTTGGTCTGGACCTTCTGCCTCTGGTCTGGACCTGAGTTGGCGTCTCAACAGAGGGACCAGAGTTTTGCATTTGGACCAAGACCAGATCTTTTTTCAGGTCCCAGTCTGTTTGATTTAGAGCAGATCCCAGTGAGACTGAAGATTTAAACCAACAAAACCAAAACCAAAACCAACAGAACTAAGACCTTCTGGATCCAACGGA